CAACCTATTTCTTAATTTATGCTCTTTACCATTTATTCCTCAAATATTTCACATTTGTGATCTTCCTTAGCCCAAGACTATCACCAGTTGGGCTTGTATATACTGATTTCTCTGCCACCCATCATGGATTGGGTCAATCAAGATTTTCATGTGTTGCTTCTTAGTTGAAACCAGACATTTAGGCCTAAATCACATTTGTAACATTCCACCCTATTGGTAAAAATCTGTAATGCTGTAGACACATACTTAACTTTTCAAACATGAAAAAGGCCAGTGTTTTAACTTCTAGAATCACAATATTAGGTGGGGAGCTTGCAGCAACACGAGAACACCCCTCCTAAAGTGAAATGAAAAACAACATGCCACATTGAAGTAGTCAATGACTACTTCAGCTTCAACAGTAACAATACAAGAGCACACAACAGATACAACCTCAATGTAAACCACTTCAAACTTGATTGCAGAAAGTACGACTCCAGCAAGAGTGGTCAATGCCTGGAATGCACTGCCTGACTCTGTAGTTACATCCTCAAACCCCCACTCCTTTAACCCCAAACTATCCACTATTGACCTCACCCCATTCCTAAGGGGTCTGTAAGGGGCGTGCATAAGTGCACCATCGTGCCTGTCTTATTGTCCCCATTTAATCGTACCTGTTTTCTGTATTCTTACTCATGTTTACCTATTATTTTGTAAGCGATTGACAAATCAAATCAAATCAAATCAATAACATAAATAAATAAATTCAACCCCCTGAAATCTTTCCTAGAACCGTCTAGCTTTGTGATACTGATAAAACACCGGGGCTGCTGTGTGTCTTAAATGAAACGACAGCCCCGCGGGGGCCTCTTGGACTGTAGGGTGATATAAGCTAAAATGCTCCATCTCTTTCGGCTCCTCCGAGGAACTTCCCGTCTGCGCTCTACCGTCCCGATCCTGAAAACTGAGAGGGATCCATGAAAACAAAACGGAGCATGAGCCCGGTGGGGACGGAGGGGGGGTGTTTCCCCCTTGGGAGTTTGTTCAGAGTTAACCTAGCCAGCTTTGAGAGTCCGCAGAGAGCCTACTTGAGAGGCGGGTACAAGCTGGACGGCTCTCCTCTTCTTCCCCCTTAGGAGAGCAAAGATGTCCCGTGTTTTCTCCTCACCGGGACGGGAGGAGGGGATTGGGAAACGCCTCTCTCCTTCCTCAGGCAGCGATGGGGGCAGGCCTGTCAGCCTATCTCCTTCCCGGCTCGTCCCCAGAGCAAAGAGGAGCTGCCGCGGCGGTTCTCTCCACCGCCCCCTTTGTCTTTGTCTTAGGGGTCTCTCCTCGCCCCAAGATAGTTAATGCCCTCGCCTGGAAGGCTGGCTGGTCGTGAACCTTTTTACGTCCCGGTGGAAAATGCTCGGGGTGATCTTCCTCCTCACTTGCTCCCTGCTGGTAGTTTGCTCCTGCTTGGCCGAAAGGGAACTTGCAGCACTGACGCAGGAGCAACTGCCCTACTTCTTGAGTAAGTTGGACGGGCGGCTGAGCCATTGGTCGGACGGCAGCCTTGAAGGAGACTTCACTTCTCTCTCTCTCTCTCTCATTCATTCTTTCCCTTCCTGCTATTAACTGATAATAACTATTAATAACTATTAATTATTATTGAAGGGGCGTGCAAAAGTGCACCATCGTGCCTCCTGTCCCTGTCCTATTGTCCCCATTTAATAGTACCTATTTTCTGTATTCTTACTCATATTTATACTTATACCTATTATTTTGTAAGCAATTGACAAATCAAATAAATAAATAAATAAACTGATTATATACAGCTCATTAGAATTTCCCTGCTGGGAGTAATGCTTTATATTGGTACAACTCTCATTCCAGGGAAGGGGGGGAAAAAGTTGGAACCAAATCCTAAAGATCATTAATTAGGAATAAAACCTATTAAGTCCAGAGGTTGGTCAGAGACCTTATCAGTCAGTTCTAGCTCTATGCTAGGCTTGGCAATCTAAAACTCTTTTAACCACCAGAGTGCATGATTGAGGGGCCAAATTTGACTAATTTGGCTTTAGTTTACAGTACCGGTAGTCCTCAACTTACAACAGTTCTCTTAGTGACCATTCAAAGTTACAACAGCACTGAAAAAAGTGACTTATGACCATTTTTCACACTTGTGACCGTTGCAGCATTGCCCATGGTCACGTGCGTTCAGATGCTTGAGAACTGACTCACATTTAAGATGGTTGTAGCATTCCTGTGTCATGCGATCCCCTTTTGCAACCTAGTAAAGTTATTGGGGAAACCGGATTCATTTAACAACCGTGTTACTAATTTAACAACTGCAAAGATTCACTTTAGAAATGTGGTCATAAGTTGTGGATTTACCTCTATTTTTTTTTCAGCACTTGGTGTGCTGCACACAAGCAGCTCTTCACATTTGTGTTTCAATCCCAGAAAATGAGTTTCCAATTCCTAATTTTAATTCTTCTTTATGCTTGTAGCCATGTAGCCGGCATGTGCAGTTATCTGCACATGTGGCTGTGCATCCTAACATTTTCCAGGCAATTTCTGGTGTGATCATTTTGTTTGCATTAAGCTGCAGTGTGTCTAAAACACGCTTGTGTTTACTGTGCACTTAACTACTGATAAGGTATCATTGCTCCAGAAGCCATTACTAGTATAAACACTTTTAAAATCTTTTGCAGCTGTCTCTGAATCTGTTCTAAGCATTAGGCATTCTACTCCCAGTGTTGAGGTAGAAAGCCCTAAGCACCTTAATTTCTGAATTTCTTACTGCCTATATAAGATTTGCTTCCCTCCTCCAGGGAATGATCCTTGCACCCGTTCATTTATGTCTGTTAAAATAGAAAAAAGCAAACCATGTAATGCTGCAGGCATGTATAGAATTGTTCAATTTCTATCGTATCAAAAGATGAAGTTGGGGAGTTTTTCCTCAGAGAAAGTGTTTTTTCTTCTTCTTAGCCGAAACAATATCTGGGGATTATTAAACTAGATGAAGTCCAGCCAGCTGATTCCCAATTCTTTTCTAGGTAATACAAAATTCCAATATGGAGGGGAGACAGGCATACTTTTTCTCCTTCTAGAGAAGGGAAGCTGCAGGCTGCCACTGTCTTCAGACAGGGAGAGTGATTAGACTATCTTGGGTTTCTGATTAGGTATAATTCACACATTTTGTTGAAATGATTTGAGACTACCCTGTTTCTCCAACAATACGGCCTCCCCCAATAGGAAGTCCCAGCATGTTTTATAGGCATGAAATGAAATTAAGCCCCTCCCCCAAATTAAGGCCTATATTAAAACATGCGAAATGGGGGGGGAATGGTGGGGGGACTTGCCGTTAGGAAGTACTTTTGTTGCACACCCGGATATGGTGCTGCCTGTGTTGACCCCGATACGAAGTGCCCCACCAACGCTGAGGTCAACATCCAAGCCGTCGCCACCCGCCCACCCAAAGATGCAAGGGGGGGGGGAATTAGGTCACCCCCGAAAAGACAGCCTAGCCATTTTTTCGGGGCTCAAAAAAAAAAAAAAAAGACCTGGCCTTATTATATGAGAAACACGGTATTTTCAGTACTCCCCCTGACAATGTGAGTACTTAAGAGAGAGAGGGGTTGAAGGTGGAGCATGTCTTCCTTCATACCTGAAATTTTTTGATACCTGAAGAAACTTAACCTAAAGTAAGACTGAATATAACTTGTCCATTTGTCCAGCTGAAAGCTAAGTATGGATGGCTGTGAAAAGCCATGGTGCGCAAAACACTTATTTAGGGGTAGACAGTGTGCCTGTGGACATGTCGATACTGTTATTTTTAATTGGAAACTGCAGACTGCAAAGCAAGGTATTAGCTTCTCTGTTTACAAGAGTGCCTGTGAGATTTGCATAGACTTAGAAAATAAAATAGGAAGAGACTAAAACCCAGTACAGGTAGTTCTCAACTTATGAGAACAATTGAGCCAAGCAAAACAGTTAAGTGAATTTTGCCCCATTTTATGCACTTCCTTGGTGGAGTTGTTAAGTGAATCACTGCAGTTGTTAAGTTAGTAACTCAGTTAATTGAATCTGGCTTCCCCATTGACTTTGCTTGCCAGAAGGTTGCAAAAGGGGATCACATGACCCAGGGACAATGCAACTGTCACAAATACATGCCAGTAGCCAAGTGTCCAAATTTTGATCAGGTTACTGTAGGGATGCTGGAATGTGAAAATAGTCATGAGTCACTTTTTTCAGTGCCATTGTAACTTCAAATAGTCACTAAATGAACTGTTGTAAATAGAAGACTGCCTGTATTTTATTAAAATTTCCAGAAAAAAGTATGATTTAACTAGGTGGTAGCAGGTTCTAATTTGAGGCTTAGAATAATGATAATAAACGATCTCATCAATTTTTCTACAAGTAAATTAGTGCTTCATGAATAGTTATAGCAGTCTTTTTGTTATATTCTATACCACTGGTGGCTAACCTTTTTGGGCTCCTGTGTCAAAAATTGTGCGTGTGCTTGCATGCTCGCGTGCCAGCACCCAGAAAGCAGTGCGTGCACCCCCTACGCATGCGTGTGCAATCCCCCCCGCTGCCCACTTACCTGCACTGCGCTTTACAGGTGATTTTCGGCCAGTTTGAAGCCTTTTTCAGCCTAGTTTTCAGCCTGAAAAGCCTGCAGAAGCCTTCCTGAAGCCTCTGGAAGGCCAAAAAAGGCCTCAGACCAGCAAAAAAAATCAGCTGTGAGGCACGCGCATGCGCAGTGAGGTAAGTTTGCCTGTAAATCACGTGCCAGCACAAATGGTTCTACGTGCCACCTGTGGCATACGTGCCATAAGTTCGCCATCACGGTTCTATACAGTTCGTTGTATGCTTGAGTTCAAAGTTTGCAATAAAATTGGAACTAAGATTAGACTTAATATTTTTCCAGTTATCCCTGGAGCAGCTGGTTCTCTGGAGAGCCCAGAGTGCAGTCCTGTCAAAGTTAGCTTTGCTTTGCCATGCACCCCCAGTCCCTTATC